TTAAATATAAATTTTAAAAATATTTAACAAAAAGTACACTTTAGAGCAAAAAGACCAAAATACCCCTAACCATATTGAAAAAACCAGATAAAAAAACTAATTAATTTGAAAACTAAAACTCTTAAATTTTAAAATTTTCTTCTATTAAAACTCTTTCTCTTTCTATCTCTCTCTTTATATCTCTTTCTCTTTCTCTTTCTCTCTCTTTATATCTCATAGATATGTATATGCACATATACATTACTAAATTCAAAAGTTAAATAAGTTTTAAATTTCTTAATTTGAATTTTTTCCCAATTCTTTCTAAAATTTTTAAATTTTAAGATTTTCTTATATTAGAACTATTTCATTCTCTCTCTCTCTCTCTCTCTCTCTCTCTCTCACACACACACACACATATATAATTGGGACTAAAATAAAGCTGACGCAAAATCAAAATTCTTTAATTTTAAATACTTTCTAAGATAAAAACTTTTTTTCTCTATATATATATTTTCTAACAAAAAAATTGTGACATATACTATTATGCCAATGTCATACTGCTTGCGGGTGACACTGTGAGCATCACAAAATATGACATTAATGTCACACTATATATAGACACCAAATATAGGATTTGCACATTGATAGTATCACACTGTGACTCATATAAAGATTCAAAAGTACATAGTGAGTATCACAGTGTAAATCCAATCTCACAATGCAACTACCAATCATATGCATTGTTTTTTCATGGTGTGGGCATCAAAAGTGTGACTTCAATATCACACTACAAAACAAACATCGTATGCAGTGTTTTGTACAGGATGGGTATCTATAACACAATAATGTGACTTAAATATAACATTGCATAAATAAAGAGAGAAAATAGAGAGAGAGAGAGAGAGAATAGGGAGAGAGATATTAACAGTAAAAGTCATATATAGAGAGAAAATAAGAAATCTTTTTAAAACTAATGAAATCCTGTTAAAATTCAAACGGTTAATTATCCTTTAATTTAGTAAACCACTTAACCATTAAAATAGAATAAAAAATACAAAAATTGTCCCAATAAAATAGGAAATTGAATCCCACAATTAACTGCCTAACTTATCTTCCACATATAAAAGAAAATAATTTTTACATAAATATATTTTAAAAAAATCAAAGTATATCTGATCACAAAATATTTATACAAAAAAAAATTTATATTAAGATATTTTCTCACAAATAAGTAGTTTATAACGTACCTTTTCACAATTTTTCCTTTTGTTTCTACCCTGATTACATTATGAAGGGAACACATGTAGAACAATCCCATGTAAGATTTGGTAAACAACCCACAACCCGCAACCCAGAGTTGGGCATAAAGTCTAGGGTCGTGGGCTTTCTTTTTCGGCCACAACGACCCAACAGATGGGTGGCCATACCCATCGGCCTGCCAAAATGTGTCACAACAAAAAATAAAAAGGCCCACTATACAAACTCAAACTCAAATGATAAGTCATAGGCTGCACTTTCTTCGCACTGGGCCTTGCCAAGCCTGTCTTGTTGACAAGTGAATAGCCATACTGCCCATCCCATGCGCATTTGTGGCCCCAATGCCTACTCTTAATCACATGTAAAAATATCGAAGTCTCTTCAAAGAGTGATTGTAGAACACGATTCGCGAGGGGAAGCACATCATAATCACCTAATGCTTCTTTGCAAGGCACATCAGGATTTTCTTCATTCAAAGCGCATGTCAAAATAAGTTACGATAGCTTCTAATCCAAGCTGAAAAAAAAAAAATTTAACTTGGTCTCTTATTGTCGTTTTGCTTTGGTCGCAACTACACCTTGTTTGGTAACTTCATTATTTTTTGCTGCAAAAGTATGTTTGACTTGCATGTATTAAGTATATAGTTAGCATTCGTTCGAAGTCAGGTGCCTTCTCGTAATCACATGTAATAAACATGATATCCGGCCATAATTCACTAATATATCTGTATTTGAAACAAATTGTTCCTCATAATTATATTTCTTTGCAGCCTTTTAAGGGTATGATTGAGGGGATGAGAATGGACACTAGGAAAAATCGGTACGAGAGTTTCCAAGAACTCTACCTTTACTGCTACTACGTGGCTGGAACTGTTGGCCTAATGAGTGTTCCAGTAATGGGGATTGCACCAGAATGTCGGGTTTCTACTCACACTATCTACAATGCAGCACTTTCCCTGGGCATTGGAAATCAACTCACCAACATTCTTAGAGACGTGGGAGAAGAGTGAGACTCCTTTATTACCTATATGCATTGTCACCATCTCATCAATATCATGTTTTTCATATTATACATTCAATTATAGTTGTTCCACTATACTAATAATTGACATCCCCGAGTAATTTGACAAAAAATTATTTTACTTTGTCTACACATTATATGATTCAAAAAAGTGAACATTTTCATTACAAAAAATAACAAGCATTTGCTTTAGGCGAATGTAAAAGTAAGCCAATCAACAACTATAATCGAGGGAGTAAAATGACAAATTTAATAGTTCCAAGGGATAAAATAAAATTGAGTCTATCTATAGTTGAAGGGTCAAAATACAATTTGTCCAAATTTTGCTCGGTTGGTACCGAATTAAACTTGTCAACGTAGACTTTTCCATCTGTATTTTACTTCTTCAGCCATTCTATAGTCTCATTTCCATAACCATTGTTGGGTGAGTTGTTTCAGTGCATTGAGAGGGAGAGTTTATCTTCCCCAAGATGAGCTAGCCCAATTTGGGCTGTGCGATGAGGATGTGTTTTCAAGAAAAGTGACTGATAATTGGAGAGATTTCATGAGAAAGCAAATTACAAGGGCGAGGTTCTATTTCGACCAGGCCGAGGAGGGAGCCACTCAGCTTGACAAGGCTAGCCGTTGGCCGGTAATTACTTGGACCTCCCCCATCAATATAAAAACTGTTAATTAGTGTTAATGAAAGAAATTGAATCGACATTTCATCATTTAAATTGGTTTCCAATCAACATATTCAAAATACGAGTAGAAGCATCTACCACTTTCTTGGTCCAGCAAGAATATTGTGCATTGGGCATGACCTTTTGTGATACTAAAAGAATCATTTCAGAAGCAATTAGAGGAGATCACTTTATACCATACATATCTTGCTAAAACATGTATAGTCGGTCTTCCAGTATATTTTTTTATCTGGTGCACTGAGCTCCCACCTTTAATGAGATCTAATACGGATAAGTAAAGGTAGTCTGATCTTTATTTTGAGAGGTTGATTCTCCGATTCAAAACTCCAACATGTCATAGGAGAAATAATTACTTGTCATTCCCATTTTGGAGAGTCTTCAATTATGTATAAGTATAATCTATTGCTTTTTAAGTGTTTGATATTGATTCTTTGTGGTGATTTTGCAGGTGTGGTCATCTTTGCTGTTGTATCGCAATATCTTGGACGCCATTGAGGACAATGATTATGATAACTTGACAAGGAGAGCTTATGTTGGGAGAGCTAGGAAGCTTCTCACGTTACCTCTATCATACATTAGAGCTCTCCTAGTGCCCAGTTTGGCCTTACACTAGACACCCAATTTGTAGATAGACGACCACAGAGAGAATACAAACAATGTCTAAAATGTCAGAATGAGGCGTTCATTCTCAATTATGATTATTGTCATTCAAACGAGCCTAGAAAAATTATGTGTGCTTCGTGAATCTCTTACGGACTAATGTAAATGTCAACCTAACCGGAGAATTTCAGTCCACACCGTTCATTCAGTAGCACTTCTTTTTGAAAGAATTTTGCAGCATTTTTTCGGGCCTTTTGGTTAAATAATGCTTAGCTTCAGCCAGCAGTACTGCTTTTGTAATACAACGCAAAGCAGAAAAAAATTTCTTTCGTCGCCTCCTTGGGGTATGATTAGTCCGGGGTTTTAAAGTAACGGGATTGGATTAATTTCATCTCGGACCACACTTATCCCGCTTTTGGATTGTATTTGGCGGCATGGTATAAGCCCGAAACCTTAGACCTGGACCAGTAGTACAAACATACCAATGGAAGTTTGCCAAAACAACCCCATGGGCTGAGATAAAAACTGGCTCATACGAGGGATGATTTGCGTCCGCCTAAAAGATAATAATAATAAATAACTCACCCTCCAACAAACCAATTTCATGGGATTGAATTGGTATATTTAGTCCCAAGCCCATGAATTCAGAAAATAGATTAAAAACTCTTTAAATTCCGAATAGCCTGAAGCATACCTTTATCAGAATAAAAACTTTTCCCTAGATTCCTTCTACCCAGAGCTTCTCAGAAAGAAGCCTAATCTCTGTTACACTATTAGTATATCATTATACATTTTCTCCGGCCGTCCTCTTACTCCTGCGATCTCACACACATCAGTATTGAAATAAAACCAACTCAGAGAGTTGGTCAGCCTGTCTGATACTAGCTTTAACCAAGACCAGTAAATAACAGCTTTATGGCCAAAAAAAAAACCACCCACACGAAAAAGAGCATGAATTGATCTTTCTACAAATGAAAAGAGGAAAAGAAGAAAAGTGGAAGAGAATTAACCTTCCACATTCAAGGATACTGTGATGGGAAAGAAAGTAGATTCAACGGGTATGCCAACAAAAAAAAAATTACAAAGCATCCATTAAAATGGAAAAGAAAAAATCTTCCCTCTACAGAGCCCCAATCAAAATGATCAACCTTCTACCCTAAGAGGCAAAAAATGATGGAAAAGTAATTAACATAAGAACGAGAAGGTCGCCACACTTTGCAGGAAATGGTACATATGCAGCAAATGTGTAGCCAGCTCTACTGCCTCTGTTGCAATAACTCGGTTCAGGATAACAACTGAATCAAAGAAAGCTTTACCTGCCCATACTACATGCTTTCGGTTACCCCAACCAAACCTAGCAAAACTACAATTTCAAATTTCTTTAAATAGCTCTCAACAAGGCATCCAGAAGGCACATGCCACTCGAATTTTAGCACCTCAGTCTCCATGGCACCTGCATCATAGGAAGTAATCTGGTGTTCTTCGGGTAACGTCTGGCTCTCCCCTCCGGGGAGCTGGCTCAAACTGCAACCAGATAGTTTGTGGGATTTCACTCTTTAGTTGCACAATAGATGCAATTACAAAAACCACTAGAAAGCTAGCAACACATTTACATGAAAGGTGGATTTCCTCACATTATAACATCAATAATACCCCACATCTATAATTTGCATTGCGATTTGGCATTAAAATGGGATGAGAGAGAGAGACCTGAATGAAAGTGTGGCCTTTGCAGTCATCTACTTCCAGAATGGAAGCCATGTTTCCACAGCGATAACAATAATTCGGTGCACTAAATATAGTAACAACCTTTTGCTCCTGTCGCAAGAAATTGCACAATTTATTATGAATCTTGCCAGCCAAAAACCAAATGGATCTCAGGGTTCAGGAAAGTACATACATGACCCCAGTTAAATCCCTCCATCACCAACTGGTGTGCTCTAGCAATAAGCTTTAAGTTATTGGTCTGGTTAAATTGCTCAGATATGTCCTGTCAAAGAAAAAAAGTAGCCGGCGAATAAACATTAGTTCTCCTTAAGATAGGAAATCCAACAAAAGGAAACAAAGGCGCACTCAGAGCAAGATACTTGGCCAAAAGTATATCCAGCACCCCTAGGTGAGATACCCCAACCACAACGATCATCAGGGTCAGACCAAAGAAGATCGCACATTGGCCCTTCATGAGGAACTTCTTGGACACGATCAAAATTACGTATGTTATCAAGAGTTTCAATGGAAGGGGACAGTCCACCATGGAGACAAAAGATCTCCGATTCAACCTAGAAAATTTCCAAGACCCATTATTCATCATTGAAAACAATTACCATATATAACAAGAAAGTTCCTAACATACCAAAAAGAACAGAAATAACCTGAACAAGAATGAATAGGAGGGTACCATTGATTGGAAACTACTGATCAACCATTAGATGGAAGAACTAAGAATTTAGTCTGAAGCACAATCTCAATTCTGCCCTTGCAGGCAATTACAGGGCATCTGTATACATATCTTGAAGCACAATCTCAGTTCAATCTGTACCCAATCCAACCCTCCCAGCATCCTTGGTTAACAGGGGCTATATTAGGTGAAGACCATTTCTAACGCAGAGGTCTGGTGAATAACACTATGTGCAGTATGCTAAAATCAAATGTAAGGCATTATGGGCAACAGAAAACTTAGTCTACCTGGACCAATTAGGACAAACCACAGCCCCATCAGAAAGCCAGACTAAACCAGTAATTTCTGATTGTGTATGCAGCAATATTGTATCTTCCCGTAATATCACACTTGCAAGGAACATTATCGATTCTAGCTAACAATTCAAGACTATATATACATGTGGATGAATAGAAGACTAATTTTATAGTTCTTGTGTGCATGCTTTGATATACACATATATAGGGGAATGAGTGTGTGTGCATGTGTTTCTGAACTTAAATTATTAAATCACACTAACCAATGCTGTAAGTGGGAAAAAGTCAAACAAATCTGTGAAGATCTTCCACACATTAGCATTACCATATCTGTAAAAAACAACAGCGGTTTATGAGTACACGTTTGCCAAACAAAAAAGAAATTTGCAACAAATAGGGATCAACAACTCCACTACCCCAAAGACACATCATAGATCATGGTATAGATGGCAAGCTACAATGCACTACTTTCATTCAGGAACCCCATTGAGGAAAAGTTAACACCAATGTGAACTTAACAGGCTAGTTTAGGATCACAAAGAGCAGCTCTCTAGTATCAGATGCCAGCATTGACAAACAATTTCTACACAGCATAAATATCATTTCATATGAAGAGAACTGACAATCTAATGGTGCATGACCTTGGAAGTATACGCAGGAAGGCAAGAGATCATGGTTTAAGGACCCAGCATCGGTCAACAATTCAGAGGGCACTAAAACGCATCAATCACGGAGTTGCAGAGCGTTATCAGGCCATAAACGCAAAATGTAAATAAAAGCCCAAAAAATACAAAAATTCATGAAAAGTTCAAAAAAAAAATTAATAGTAAAATCCATGAATGTCCAAAATCTAATCGTGTACCACATTAAACATATAGAAAATGAAATGTAAGGGTGCTACCAGAGTTACCACTAGTTTAAATTTTGAATATGTGAAATAAAAAAATAAAAGAATATGGCATATTTATCAATAAATTGCCAAAGAAAAAATTATATTATCTCTCACTAATATTGCATCTAAATATGTTAACTAGTTTAAATTAAAATTTAATAATAAAATTCAAATTGTAAAAAAAAAAAACCACGTTTATCAGCGTATTTCTAATTATAGATAAGTTAATTATGGGTTAGTTAATATGCATGTATAATTATATTGACTTGAAAGTTACAAATCACTAAATAAATACAATAACATGTCGCAACATCGGGGCTTTGACTCAGACGACATTGATAAACGTCACACAAAAGGTTAGATAGAAGTGTAAAAAAAAATTAAAAATAAAAACAAAAATTTTAAAAAATGTAAACAAGAAGATCAATTCATCATTTGTCCAAAATCCATCCCCAAACACATTAAATTAGTAAATCTGTTTCGCCCAAAATGGGAATGGGCTAGGGTTATGAATTTGTAATCTATAATCTGATCTGATGATCGAGTCAATTCCATTATTATAAGTTCATTCCATACCGAACCAAACCGAAAGAGGGTTATATACATTCTCATTATGAGGAATCATTCGAGCATATCAAAATAGATACTATGTTTACATATGAATCTCTACGTCGTTACATTTCATTTAGGATTAGGAATAGGCATAATCAGACAAGCTTACACAGTGAAAATGAAATATGAGAATGCTACCGGAAATATTTATCATCATTAGTGATCAATATGAATATGATAAATAAATTAGATCCCAAACTATTGAGTATAAATATTCTATACATGCAAACAAGGTTGTCAAAACGTGTATAAGAAGACGTATCGTTTTTCAAAAAACAATGTATCGCGTATCGTAAGATATGTGCAGTTTTATAAAACATATTAAAAAATACATATACCTATAACAAAAATGTCATAATAACATTTTATTGCATTACAAATTTCTCACATAAAACAATTTAAAAAAACTATAGGGACCACAACAAAAAAATTAACAATTAAAGTATTAAAATTTCTAACATAATTCATCAATATCAAAATTTAGAGAGTTCTAGTTCTAACATCTAAAGTAGTCAAAGGATAACACTTTTAACAATCAAACTATTTGCTCCTACAATGAAACGAACAAAAAAAAAGCTTTTTATTTCTTAAAAATTGTAGATGGTGAAATGACATCGTTTTATTACCTAGTGTTTAAAATAGTGTTATTTAAGGCGTAAAGCGAACCGAAGCGACCAAAGCTCCTAACACCTAGGCGAGAAGCGAGAAGCGAAGCGACACACTTTATCGAAGCAAAGCGAACAATTAAAAAATATATATATTTTCGTTTAATTTCTTCTAAACAATCTAAGTTTTAATTTTATATATACTAAATATTTAAATGCAAGTAAAACCATAAACATTTAAATTAAAACAAACACTAATAATATCTCAAATCTTAATAACAGTCATAACTTAAACCTTTAGATTCAAACAAATACTAACAATTGTATACATTTTCATATTGACAGGGTAAAACAACAAAAGAAACAGAATCAGGACAGCAGCAGAATCAGCAACAAAAAAAAAAAAAACAGAATGAGAATAAAAAAAAAACAGAAGCAGCACAGGACAGGAAAACCAAAGCAGCAACAGAATCAACAAAAAAAAATAGAAGCAGAATGAGCTAAAAAAAAAATCAGAAGCCCAATGATCATGACAGGAGCAGAATCAATTGTAAACAATTTCATATGTTATTATGTACTAAATAAAAAAAGCAGAACAGAGGCACATTTCACATGTACTAAAATAATTAAACATGGTATAAGCATAGACCACTTTTTGGTACCATTTGTATATATATAAGAAAAGGGAAAAGTATAACCAAGACATATCAGAGACACTTCTTTGTAGAAAACTCTATTATTTACCCCTATTCCTGATACTCCTGCTTCCTTTCTTTATCATAATTTTGTCATGCAGTCGCCTGACTCCCACATCCCACAAATATTCTAAATGAATTTAGTAACACAAGAAAAAAAAAGGAATGTGTTTTGCTCGAAAAATTGTTTATTAGAAAAAAAAATAGACCAGCGATAGTCTAAAAAAAAGTCATTAGTGATTAAAAAATAAAAGAGACTACTAACCTGTAATCAAAAAAAAAAAGAGAAGCAGAATTGCCTCTTATAATAAAACGTTCGTTTTTTCTCGCTTCGCCTGGGGTCCTCCAGGCGAGATAAGCTCGCCTCACCTCGCTTCTCGCCTAGGCGAGCTTTTCAAAACACTAGTTTGAAAAAAATTATTTTCAAGTGAAAAGGCATCGTTTTCTAGTCAAAATTCAAAGAAAATTTTTTTGATCTGTGTCGTCCGACAACTCGTACGTATCATTTGGTATATCGTATTGTGTATCTCATGATACGATGCAAACAGATACACTTAAGTGATACGTATCGTTTTCTTCATGTATCGCAACGTATCGTATTACGTATCGTACGATACTAACAATTATACATGTAAATACAATCTAAATTAATAACATGAAACAAAACAGAAATTTAACTAAAAATTTATTATAGAAAATAAATCAAAGGATAAAACAAAGAATAAAACATAATGGGGAAAAAACTAAAATCAAGACTCTAAATCCTTAAAGGTTCAAATAGATGGCAAGACGTGGTCCTTTGTCTTTCTGTATGACTCTGAGAGAGAGAGAGAGAGAGAGAGAGTATTGAGGTAAAAGCTGAGATGAAAAGAAGAGAGAAGAGGGAGGGGGGAGGGGGTGCGCAACACTTAAAGCCCAACTTTCAATGGTCCTAGGCCTGAATTTTTGCAATTGATGTGCAAGATGCTATTCTCTGCTACAAAAAATAAGTTTTTTTCCCCATTTTACAAATATTGGTTACAATTCTTTTGGATTCCTTATTCTATTCCCGCCCAACATGTGGATTCTTTGAAGTTCCATTATTGTTTTTATTATGTTTTCAAGTTGCGTCCCATTTTTGAATTTTGGGTTCTCCAACTTCTTCTCTCTTGTCTTTTTTTTTTGGGGGGCATTTTTTCTATTGTCGGAGATGTGGGGAGCGATTCTGTGTGAATCCGTTTGATTTAGATGTGAATTGGCTGATTCAAACAATATGATTTTGATTTGGACCGAGTTAAACTGAATCGGAACTGATGCACGTCAGACTTGTATTATTTTGATACCATGCATCATTATCAGATCAGTGACAAGTAGGATACGACGGCCGATTATTTGAATCCTAATTAACTACTCCATCAAAACATCAGATTGTTAACTATTGCCCTAAAAAGTCCTAAGGATAAGGAAGCCTTTTGCTAATCATTATTCCCACAAAAATAAAATATTACAACAATAAAAGATGCATCTGACTAACTGTTTGCAATTTTTCAGCCGTTCTTAACTTTTACAGTTCCACCCTTCTCTCTTTGCAATTCGCGATCGGAGTGTAGGTCGGTTACTAATTAGCGATCAAAGAGTGAAGCAAAGAGACAAGGATGGTGCAAGGTAACTTCAAAAATCAGAAGAAAAAGAGGGGCTCTTGACTTGTGATGCTTCAGTATTCAATCTGATGGTTTTTGCTGGTTTGGCTTATGTTTGCTTTTAGTTTCTTGTTCTTGCCATATAGTAGACATGTCTCCCTGTGGGTTTTACAATTGGTTGTCAGCTTCCCCAACCCCCAACCCCCCCCCCCCCCGGGGTTAACATCAGAATTTCCCTTTTCTATATTGTTCTTGGTTTTGCATCTGATTGCTCAACAAAGGTCACAATTATGTGTGTCTCACAACAAAATGGCCAATTTAAACAATATGTATCCGAGTCAGGCCGATCAAAACCGAGTCATGTTAAACTTAAACTTGGACCATTTTTGAAACGGAAGTTTTTCAGAGTTGGATACAAATCAATAGTCATATCAAACTCAACCAATACATTGAACTATGCAAGCGATGCATACATGGCCATATATCAATACTTCCTTTAATCAAATCTTCATCACTAAGTAAAGAACATATCCCGAAGAACAAGTTGGTAGGGTAGGTCCATCAAAAATCATCATATTAAACATGAGTCTCATCCAAAATACCTCTTACTATTAGACAAGGTGTTACACTATCACACATGGCATGAACTCTGGTTAGATCCAGGGATTCAATCCACCGCAAATATGCTTTGTTGACTCCTAACAGTAGTCGTATGTAATAGCACGATTCATGCAACCATGCTTCTAATAGTTCTCATACTACGTTATATTAAATTAACTAACACTACAACTCAAGCTGCAAGTGCCTAGTGAAAGCCTGTCCTACATCACCCAGTTGAGGGTGGGAGGTGTAGTTAATAAGACTCCACCAGCCCTCCTCAAATCATCAATTGCATGGATAGTGTGGTTGAATCCCACAGTTCAGACCCACTTCCCATCCTCTTTACCTATATTTGATTTCCCATATCTCCATGCTACCTTAAGCTAAAGAAAAAGAGAAAAGACAACATGCCCTAG